AATGCCTAAAAGCCATGCACTGTGTTGTGGCACAGAGATGAGCAGAACACCACTGCTGCAAGACTGGCAGATGGCATCGTCCTCTGGCTGACTGCAGAGTTCAAAAAGAGTGAAATCTTCACCAATGGAAAAAATAAAACCAGTCTGTGCTAGAAGCCTTAAAAAATGGGGGGTGGGGGTGGGGATAGTTCCACAGGGTTTAATTAAAGGAAAGCGTTCCCACTCGCAGTGTGATATGTAATAAGCACTCAGGAACAGACTGGCTCAGCCCACTTTTTAGCTGAATAAGCAGGCAGCTCAATCTGAGTCTGCTCAGGCTTCCGTACAGCCTCCTCTGTTAACCATCTGAAGAGACCACAAAGAACCCATCTCAGGAGCTCAAGCCTATGCAGTACTCGGATAGCACCTTGGAGCAGATGTTATTCAGGGGTGGGCCTGAGCTTTAAAGTTCCAACCTGGATCGGATCAGCCACGCTGTTTAAGAGGTGTGTAGATCTGGGGTTTAATTATAGGCCATCTCTGCACCCCAGCCGGAAAGGGCTCACAGAGGTATGAGCCCTGCATCTCTGAAATTGCATAACTCTGCCATAACTCTCTCGGATTGGGTCCTCTGTTCTTTGCTATAACTTGTGCACCAGGGAAGGGCCAAACCTAAGTTGTGCAAACAAAGCCCCAGAGATAGTTAAAGTGCAGAGAGATGGCTGGGTTGGGACACGAGCTGGAGAAATAGCTTACAAAAGCATTCACAGATGCTTCTTCCAATTTTAAAAAGAATTTGCTTCACGTATGTTCAGGTTCATTTTCTGTGAATACACTAGAAAACAAGTTTATTGTCCCTATTCTGGCGGGGTGAGTTTCACCCCAGTGCAGAGGACAACATGCAGCCTATGCGACAATTAAGTCCCCCTAAAGTCTTATTAGTGGGACCCTGGCATTCTGCATACCTTGTATATACAGTACATAATGAACACAGTAATACAGTATATAATGACTTGAAATGTTTGTTCATATATATACATAATAGAAACAATCTTTTAATAATTTCTGGTCCCCCCTCCACCCCTCCCGCCCTTTTCCTCTGTATCTTTTTGTGAAGTGGTAAGTATTTGTTCATTTTTGAATGACTTTTTGTTCAGGAAATTAAGGGAAAATTCAGATTAATACACATTTAAAATCCAGAAGACCAACTTCACTTATCATTAAGTAGCAAGTGGCTCATCTGCCCCAAAATACCTCAGCTAGTTAGCTTGCATACTTGGTCGATCCAGTCAGTTTACTACCTTGTATCTATCTGCCAAACCTAGCTGGGTTTCAGATGGCGCCTTTGCTCTCTCATTTAAAGATGAACTTTGATCTAAGCCCCACGCCATCCCCTTAACAGTTTTGAAAAAAAGAAGTGTTACAATGTATATTAAATCATGCTATATTAGTCTGAATTAGACATAAAGTGAAATGCCATCTCAAGAAATGTGCCAGAGAGTGTTTCCTTCATGTAACGACCCCCGCAATGGGTTGGAATAGAACATTTCATCCACAGTCACAAACTCCCCACAGTGGAATCCTAGGAGAACAGAATGGTGCTTTTCACATTCAAGTTATTGCTAGCTGCCTTGGAAGTAAGAGTAGCACCATACTTTAGCAACTGTTGTAGAGCTGTACAAGGCCTGCTGGATGGGGATCGTATGGCTGACATGAACTACGTTCAGCAGGTTGCATTCACAAGGGCAAGGGCGGTGGATGAAACTTCCCACGGGGGAGGCTAGCTCCTTGTCCTGCCTCTTCCACCCACAGCCCCGCCCACACTCCACCCGTGTTCCATCCCAGGCCCCAGCTCACCCACCGCTGACTCACCGCTCACCTCTTCATCCCCCGCCACAAAGTTCCCCCCTCGACTCACCTCCTCCCCTGCCTGCCTGCCACTTGCCCACCTGTTGCTCGCCTCCTCACCGCCCCTGCCAGACCCCCTCTCTGCTTGCCACGAGACACCCCGCCCACACCTGCCCTGTAGTTGGCTCACAGCTCACTTCTTCACCCCACTCTCCCATGAGAGCCTCTCCCCTTTTCTCCTTAAAGCACTGATAACATTCCCCAAGGGAACTGAAGAGGCAACACCTATAGATCAATTGCCAGATGGATTCTCCTCTGTGTGGCAGGGAGTTCAATGTACACTGAATAGAGAGAGATGAAAAGCCGGGCAACCTGCGCCAAACTGAAGCCTAATCTCTCCTTTTGAAAAAGTGTTTGTCATTGACAGCCTGCATTAAGGCAGTAGTTTAATAACCTTCTTACACAGAATTCCCTGCCAGACTCGTTTACTTAAACCGGGTTTGAATAAAATGACTAGATCAAGAAATAAACTCACTGGCTATGTCAGCCCCTCCTTGAGCGTGGTTAGTCAAAAATACTTCAGAGAATAACTGACCGGTTGTTTGGAAACTGTTTTTAACTCCAATAACACATTTTTCTAATATATAAAACCCAGCTGATTGTGGGCCAAAGGCTTCCTGGGCATTGGCAAATGCCTGTTAAATGGCTTCATTACCACTGTAATGGCCCTTTAACAGTTTCAGTGAGCTGCTACTAGGTCTCTGGAAGGCTTTTTCACTTCTGTAAAGTTGAGATTCCCCTCACCTCGCCTCACCTCCTCATTCCCCTGCCTGCCGCTGGCAGCCTCTCTCATAGACACACAGCCCACACCCCGCGGGGATGGGGGGTGAGGAGGAGGGATGTGGCCGGCTGCTGAGGGAATTTCCGAAGTGGGGAAGGTGGTGAGGTAGGGGAGAGGAGGAAGACTCACCAGGCAGCAGCAGCTGGCCATGGGAGCCTCCAGAAAAGGTCAGAGGCGGGACGGGGCACACGGCCCAGGTGGCAGACGGCAGGGACAGCTGTGCTAGGTCAGGCACAGCCTCCCCTTGCCTATTATACCCGCTGCCCATGCACAAGGGTCACAGAGAGATCCAAGTGAGTGTAGAACCAAAACCTCCAGGAAGTCCCTTGTTACAGCACCTCCAAACCCTAAGGGTGGGATGGTCTTCTGCCTCCTTTTCTGAGGCCCAGATACAGGAAAGAATTCCTATTCAGGTAGAGCGCTTAAGCATGTATTTAAGTCTAACTGAAATCAACAGGACCTTTGTAAATGAGGAAAGTTAAGTCTTTTCCTGAATTGAAGCCTGAATGTTCAAGGGGGTGCAAAGTGTCTTCTCCTCCCATAGCTGATCTTTGGCATGCCACTCCTTGTTTCCCCAGTTCTTCTAGGAGAGGGGCGGATTCTCTCCCTTTCCCTCCACCCAAAACCATACATAAAGGGCAACAGCAGGTGGGAGTCAGTCTCGTTTTACTACTAGTGGTGTTTGTACTCAGCAGCAAGCGTAGTATCCCATAAGTCTAGGATTTCAGGAGCTCACATACCCCTTATGGACCTGTAGCAGCCACCAGATAGGGATTTCGGAGTGCCTCTCCTAACGCATGTTTGCAGTAATACTTGCTAATGAATCTCTGGGGTTTCTCTGGCTAAGCAGCTCTATGGATGATGATTATCATCATTATTTATTATTTGTATTCTAGTAGCATCTAGGGGTCTCAACTGAGGTCGAGCTCCCATTGTGCAAAAACAGAGCGAGAGCCAGTCCCTGTCCTGAAATACTTAGTATCTGGTTGGAAGGGGAAACAGAGGCCCAAAGACATGAAGTGATTTGCTCAAGCGCACATACCAGGTCAATCTCCTGAGTCCAGTCCTGTGACCTCTCCCCTGGACTACACTTGTCTCAGTTATATGGTGTAACCTATGCCTACTCAGTCTGAGAGCTGCTGACAGCAGGACTAGGTTGATCCTTCTGCTACATCTGGTGCACAGGGCCTCCAGCCTCCATTAGAAATTGGATTTACTGAGAAGAGTGTAGGCTTAGAGAGGGAAAGACCCTACCTGACACCTCTTTGAAGATATCCAGGGGATGAAGCAGTTACCTGGCAACACCCTGAAGACCCAGGCTAAAGGGCAGGAGACTTGTTTTATTATTGCCTGAAAATCTACCAGGGACAAATAGAAAGAAGCATGGTTTATTGTGTCTCCTGAAGGAGGTGCTCCTCTGACAGCGCACCGTCTTCCCAATATTGCATCCCACTGTTCATATGTAATGAGAGCCCAGTCCTTCTCAGAGATCAGTAAGTGAAACCCACAGATCCAGACACAGAGCTCCAGTCATCAGCGTGATCTTAGCATAGGAAACAAGAACCTGATTTCACAACAGTAGCGTTTATACAGACTTTACACAGGTGTAAAGGACTGAACAAGATGCAACCCAGAGGAGAATCAGGTCTGTTACCATTTCCAAGGGGAAAATGTTATCATCATTAAAACTTCCACATTCTCCAATGGGGACAAAGCAGGTACCACAGTTTAACTGTGGCAACTTCTTTGTGTATCTGTATGTATCTGGGGAGCTGATAATTCCTCCATAGCTTAATTGCATCAGGCTTTTTTGTCTGTTCATACAGAGGCAACATAAACACATTCATTGTGGAGATTTCCACTAGGCAGAAGACACGCAAAAGTTAGTGCTGCACCACACCCTGACTAAAGCAGGGACAGATTGCCACTTGCTTTGTGATAATTTGGTATGGATGATATACCCAGGGTGAGATCCAGACTAATGAGTAGTTGTGTCCCCCTGCTCTCTAACCTGGTGTGCCTTTTTCACTGCTTCGCTGCTGTAACCACCAGTCCTGGTCTGCTCACAAACAGCCTCCAGTATGTGAGTTACTCCCAGCTGTGTCTGTGTGAGTTGCAGCCAACCAGTCTCAGATTGGCTTTTTATTGCAGGGTGACCCTAACACACTCGCAGACCTAGCTTTCCCCCCAGAAATGTATATTTTGTACTGCCCAGTCCTTTCCTGGACAATGCAAGCTTATATAAATTTTTTCATTTAATTATAAAAATGATAGGCATACTGTTGCTGTCCCAAATAGAGTTTCCTAAACACTTAAATTCAAACACACTGGCTTAGATAAAAAAGTAAAACAAGTTTATTAACTACAAAGAGAGAGATTTTAAGTGAACACAAGTAATGAGGCATAAAAGTCAGAATTGGTTACCAGAAAAATAAAGGTAAAACACAAGTAATGTCTAACTTAACAAATTAGGGCAAATTCAAAGCAAAGTCTCTCTGACCACATGTTTCAGTAGTTTTACTGGCTGAATTTCTTTCAGTCAGGATCCCTCCCCCCGTCCAGTGCTGCTTCCTTTGTTCTTCAGCTATTGTGAATGCCGTGGCCAGAAAAAAGGAAGGAATCCTTTGGGTGCGTCTGGCCGTCTATTTTATAGTCTTCTCCCTCTTTTGAGAAGCATCTCCTACTGGGAACTTGGTGACAATCAGAATGTGTGGATGGGAACGTAATGCTGTTTCTTTTCTAAGATGTAGATTTTTCACCCATGTTCCCTTTGCTGCCAGTGAATAGCCACTTAGCAGGTGATGGCCCATTTGACCTTGACCTCCTTCAGTGAGGAACTGGTTTGGCTGCTCCCCAAGCTTAATATATGTCTTAGAAACACCACACAATGGAATCTTATAACTTTACACACAATGTCGCCACACATATAGTATCAGGACCTGTGAATTATGCATTTTCAAATGATACCTCACAAGGCATACTTTGTACAAAGATTATTATAACAGTAAGCACGGGGTGAATATGGGCGTACAGCCCGTCACAGTGTGGCCAGGTGGTGAACCACGAAGTGCAGGCCATGCAAAAGAATCTCAGCAATGTGCTCTCATCTTCAGTGAGCTGTCTCTTTTGTAGCCAGATGTCCCATTGACAGCGCAGAGGAGGAGCTGGCTCAGCTGCAGGTGGGTAAGGTGGAGACTTGTGACAGCCTTAGGACTGTCAGTAGAAGGCGGAGCAGGTCCCGCACAGTCTTAAATCAGTCAGTGATCTTCCCAAAACTCAAGAGACTCCACAGCCCTGGGCTGCATGCATTGCAAGGGCTGTAGGGGGACCATGAACAAGCCATGACTTTTACACGCTGTCCCAGGAACCAACGTTCAGCCCTGGTGCTCTTTTTGCATTTTGACAGCTAGCTCTGCAATTAATAATGCCAGGAACGTGGATGAAAAGTGGGAAAAGCACTGACATTGGGCTTCTTAGAGTCCAAAGACTGGTTCTGTCAATGGATCCATGAGCAGTGCCAACAGCGAACAATATTTGACTTCTGTGACATAGCTACTTTTCCAACTGTCCTGGGACTTATCAGTTGTACACACATCCCTCTCTGTGCACCTGCACAGGATATGGGCACAAATCAAGGACAGGAATTCTTTCTGTTCCCTAAATATGCAGGTGTGTGCAATGACAAATGTCAGCTCTAAATTTACAGAAGTATTCATGATGCACACACACTCAGACAATCTGCCCTCTGCCAGCTGTCTGAAATGGTTTCCTTGCTGACAGAGGCATGGTAAGTACATTTTGTGGGCAGATCTGATGGAGGATTACGCTATAGCCCTCTCAAAAATGTATAAAATATTTGTTCTGTTGTATCCTACAAAACATAGCCATGAACCAGCTTTAATTGGGTGGGGGGAGGGAATCTACTGAACCTAAATATGACTGAGGGAAAAGAGACACTTATTTTACTTATGCAGACATCAGATGGACAATGAAAAGAAAAGCAATGATTAGTGGCTCAGAATTGTGCAGGCAAGTTCTCCTCAGTATTTACAGCACAGCGTAAACATGAGCTTTTCTCATCACCAAAGTAAAGTGAGCAACATGGAGAGACTACATCAGGTTTAAAAACAAATAGAAGCCCATAAAACAGCCCAAAATATAAGCCAACAAAGGAGAGCCACGACGAATTAGCAATCATCAGACACAATCAAACAGAAACCCGGACGCTCCCATATTATCCTCATCTGATTCCATGCGATTGCTTCTAAATGTACTTTTAGGGTTTGGGGTTTTGTTATGGCTCTAATCCCACAAAACAGAAACATCATCCTCCGTGATCTCTGACTAAGCACACACCAAAGAATTCTGAACTAAAGTTGTAAAAATAGATTTATTATATATTATATTTTATTATATTTATTACTATATTATATATTATTATAGTATATTATTTTATATATATTATTATATTATAAATCAATACGTAGTTAGATATAATTTTGAACACTGACTGAACATTTGTTTGTCATTGCATTTGTATTTTTGTTAATAAATGTGTCAAGATGTAAGTATAGGAATGGGAGTGGCCCCTTTATAAATAGGGTGCGGCACTTGATGGACAATGCTTTAGAAGTGGGCTGTGAGCAGAACGTATTGTGTTCGAGGGATCTGTCGGTGTGCAGCTCCAGAGCAGGAAAGACCCAACCTGTGTGAAGCTCCCTAAAATGATCACGACGCTAACAATATTAAAGCGATCTTTCAGGATGACAAAGCATCATCATTGAGGATCTAAACACAGCAAAATGGTGATGTGCTGCCGATGTTTTAACATGTGGGTTCCCCACAAACCATTTTTCATTCAGGTGGTGATAACTGCACATGTGCCAGGGATGGGTTTGCTCTCAGAGTGGGGAGGGAAGATTTTTGGAATTTATGCCTTTATTTTCAATTTATTTTGGAATTTATGCCTTTATTATGACAAAAACACTTTATTAGAACCATAGGCAAGCTAAGAGGCAACACAGCTTGGCAGAATTTACTTTCTAAGTTCACATTTCAGGAAAAGATTTTACTTTGATCCTGAGAAATATCCAGTGATATTTATGTTTAGCCCCGTGTTCGACTGTATGATTTGAATTGGAGGATGAGGGTGAAGACCCTGGATACCGCAAAATGAAGATGTGACTGCAGCACAAGTAGGCATACCTGTGCTAGCTTTAATCTAGCTGGCCTGGGTAATAATGGTAGTGAGGACATAACAGCATTGGCTTTGGCACGAGCCAGGTGCCCCAGTACAAGCCCAGTAGGGATTCTGTGTAAATACTCGGGTTGCTGGCTTGCATTGGGGTTCCTGCCACTGTGTCTTCCCTGCTACTGTTGCCTGTAGTAGCTAGATCAAAGCTAGCATAGATATGCCTACCCAAGCTGTGATCACACCTTCATTTGTGGTGTGGACGTACCCCAAGTCAGATCCTCCTCCAGAAATATTTTTGAAAATAGTTACCTTTGGTGCAGGCTGGTTCATTCTAAAGTCAAGAAAAAGTTCTTAAGAACCATTTGGAGCCCTAGAGTGGTAACTCATCTCTAGAAGCATTTATTTAGATGCATCTAGATGGGGTGATTGCTATCTGAGACAGGAAATCATCCCCATTTTGCTTTCCTTTTGGCAGAGGTATTTAACAAGGGGCTCCCAGCAGCCCCTGAAAGCCCTCCAGCATTTAATTCCAGGCAAAGTAATATGTTCTGCAGCATTCCATCCCATTTATAGCTTTCTACAGACATATCGGCATCATGCTGTAGCTCAAATTATGTAGCTGAAAAAGATAATTGGTAAATCAAATAGCAGCATAAATCACTCCAGCTCTATCCTGATCTCTCATTCCAGCAGGTATGTTATCTTGAAATATTTTATTCTCCTTTTTACACCTTAGATTCATACAACCCAGCTCCAACCTCGCTACATCACTAGCTTCTCCTCAGCTCAGGAGTTGCCTCCCTGCCTGTAGCTTTAATTCCCCTGGGTATTATTCCCCCTGCTACATGACTGAAAATTTGCCTTATTTTGATCCCTTTTCCAATGTGGTCCTCTGAGTGGTTTTCTCCCCCATGAGTTCTCTTTTAAGGGACCATGCTCACCTCAGACTTTTGGAGATCATTACATGCAGGGCTGTTAGCCCCTCAGCGTATGGAATTCCTTTTCAGGATCTCATGTGAGGATACATTCTAGACTGAATGGATCTCTGGCTGTGAATGATCAAAGCTGTTAGTTGCTGTTTATTTCTTCACCCCTTCATTTGGCTCCTGGGAGGATGTTTCAGCAGATTTTCTAGAGACAGAAAAAAACAAAATCCTATTAAACTAATGACCCTCGGTTGTTTTGTCTACAAATGAATGCAGGCACAGACAATTGCCCGGTTTTCGACGATGGTTCTTTGCTCAACAATCTTCTATATGTTTCCTAATACAAAATATGTGTGCATAACATAATGAAGGATTGTGATTACCTCCTTTACTGATAATTATTGTGCTAAAGCTATGACACTCCACTAACTGCTTTCTGATTATTAAGGGTATAATCAAAGTCCATGTCCTGATTTTCTGGTATAGGACTTTGGTTGCCCTCCATCTATTCTTCTCATTCAATATTTCTCAGGAATTTCCTGTGAAGGACATAAAATCTTTTTTTTTTTTTTTTTTTTGTTTTACAAAACCAAAATTTGGAGCCAATTTTGACCTGATAACATATCATTAGTAAATCAAGTTTTCTATACAGAATCCACCTCTTCCATTAGGCAAAACATTATTGCAGTTCTGGTCAGATCTTGCTTGATCTGCATGTGCTATGCTCATCATATTAGCCACATGAAATCATTGTATATTTGGTACTGTACGATTATTAATCACCCTGATCCCCAAACTAAGGCTTATTAGGTTGTATTTGCAGGAGTTTCAGTAGGAATAATTCCTGAAGGGATGTCTTAACTGTTCACTGAGCTCTGGCATACTTCATTGAACATCCTTTAATTTTTCTTTATGTCTTTGTAGTCCTGCATTTATCATTATTTAATTTTTACATCCAGAGGCCTCAGTTATGTATTTTCCATATTGCCTCAGACAGACTGGGTTGGTCTCCAAATGACAAATATGCATTTTTCTTTTTATAGAAGGAGGTACATGAGTACAGTTTTTTAGCCCTCAGAGTTTGGCTTCAGTCCTATGACAGCCATTTCTCCATGGCTGAATGGACAGATGCCCCCTCTTTTAACATCAGTGTTGGCCATCTGCTGAGGCTAGCAAATGTCTGGGCCCTTCCAGTTTGCCTTCTCATTGGAGGAGAAGTCAGTGATGCAAAGTCTGGGGATAGTGTAAATGTAAGATGTTTTATTTACACAAGTACACCAGCCCTGAAATGAGATGATCAAACAACATGCCGACAATCCTTTCTTCCAAGAATCTCAGCCCAGTTCCAATGCCCGATTCCCAGGGAGAAACTCTTGCCTCAAGAATGCACTCTAATCAGAGACCAAGTAAGAGAACAAACCCTCCTGCTGTTCTCACAGCACCATCTCTCCTGAAAGTTGCCTCTGCACAAGACTTTGCCTAATCCAAAGCTAAGAACACCAGGACATCTCTTCCTGAGAGTCAAAACATGCTGGCATGCTAAGAAAAACAATTTGGAAGACTATGTGTTACAGCACCACCTGGTGGTGCCTATTATAGTTTTGAAAGTATATTATTTAGTATATTTCAGCATTGCCTCTAACTGCAAACAATTAGATCCTCCATCTTTTGTCTTTTATGTAGCAATTATAATCACTCAGTGAATACTCCAAATAAACACTGGTATGTTTTCAAGCTCCACATTTACTGTTCTTTTGGCTTTTCAATAGCTGATTGTCTCGGTACAAAGAATTCACCTACAGTTCATAATGCACCAAGATTCATACAATATTTAAATATGTTACCTGAAGAATGTGGCCTCAGGTCTCCAAACCAATGGAGGAGTACTCAGTGAAAGTCTAGGAAAGTGAGAGCTAGGTGAAGAGGAGGCAAAGGTGACATTAAAATAATCAGATGTTCTCATTGACACTCTTGTAAATTTCCATCCAAGATGTGGCACAAAAAACAATCCAGATGGTTCTGATGAGCAACTTTCTCATGACCTTGGTCAGGCAGCAAAAATCTGTGTTCATGCTTCTAGATTCATAGATTACAAGACTAGAAGGGATGATTGTGACCATCTAGTCTGACCTCCTGTATAACATAGGTAACAGAACTTCCCCAAAATAATTTCTAGAGCACATCTTTTAGGAAAACATCCAATCTTGATTTAAAAATGGTCAGCGATGGAGAATCCACCACGACCTGTAGTGATTTGTTCCAATGGTTAGTTACACTCAGTATCAAAAACGTATGCCTCATTTCCAGTCTGAATTTGTCTAACTTCCACTTCCAGCTGGTGGAATGTGTCATGCCTTTCTCTGCTAGATTGAAGAGCCTATCATTAAATATTTGTTCCCCATGGAGATAGTTATAGACTATAATCAAGTCATCCCTTAATCTTGTCTTTGTTAAACTAAATAAACGGAGCTCTTTGTCTCTATGAGTATAAGGTGTATTTTCTAACTCTTTAATCATTCTCATAATTCTTCTCTGAACCCTCTCCAATTTATGAACATCCTTTGTGAATTGAGGACACCAAAACTGTACATGGTATTCCAGCACCAGTTACACCAGTGCCAAATACAGAGGTAAAATAAACTTTCTAATCCTACTCAATATTCCCATTTATGCCTCCCAGCATTGCGTTAATTCTTTTGGCCACAGCATCACGTTGGGAGCTTATTATCCATGATTATCCACCATGACTCCCAAATCTTTTTCAGAGTCACACCTTCCCAGGATAGAGTCCTGCATTTTGTAAGTACTACATTCTTTGCCTCTAGGTGTATACATTTATATTTATTCATATTAAAATGCATATTGTTTGCTTTAGCCCAGTTTACCAAGAAACCCAGATTACTCTGAATCAGTGACCTGTCCTCTTCTTTATTTACCCTCCCTCAGTTTTTGCATCATCTGCAAATTTTATTGATGATTTTATGTTTTCATCCAGATAACTGATAAAAAAGTTAAAAAGAATAGTGCCAAGAACCTGTCTCTGTAGGCCCTCATTGGCAACATACCCTCTTGTCGACAATTCCCCATTTATAGTTACATTTTGAGACCTATAAATTAGCCAATATTTAATGTGTGCCATGCTAATTTTATACTGCATGGTTTTTTTAAATCAAAATGTCATGTGGTACTAAATCAAATGCGTTACAGAAGTCTGCATATATTATGTCAATACTATTACCTTTATCAACCAAACTTGTACTCTCATCAAAAAAGATATCTAGTTAGTTTGATAGAATCTATTTTCCTAAACCCATATTGATTTGCATTAATTACATTATCCTCCTTTAATTCTTTATTAATTAAGACCTGTATCAGTCGCTCCATTATCTTGCCTGGAATCAATGTCAGGCTGACAGGCCTATAATTACCTAGATGTGACAGGTGTCACAGGTGTGGAGGTGCCCTGTTGGAGGCATCATGGTCCTGCCTCACCCCATCCCAGAAAACAACAATAGAGAGGTTCTCCAAGCTGCCTAGAATAATTGTGTGGAACACAGCCAATGAGAGGGGCTGCAGGTAGCAGCCAATTGTAGCCAAGTAGGCTCATATAAAAGGAGCTGCAAGGTCAGAGTGAGTTCAGTCTGCTTGCAGGGACAGGGGAAGCAAGAGGTGTTCCTATCTGGCTGCAGGAGCTGAAAGGCTAGACAGAGTATCTGCTAGCAAGGCTGGCTGCAGGAGCTGCAAGGGACTTATCAGGTAGTTGCTGGGAATGACTCAGCAGGGAGTTGTGGTCAGTGAGTCCAAGATGGGAGGGTCAGCAGGAAGGCTGGGGTCACTGGGGACTCAAATAGAGGCAAGTAGTTCCCAGGGAAGAAGCCCTCAGGGCACTGCTCAGTTCCAGAGAAGGAGCCTTGCAACTTGGCCAGACCAAGCAAAGGTACCATGCTAGGCCCTGTTGGACTGTTTAAAGACTGAGCCCAGGTAGGGCTGCAGGACATTTTAGATTGGTTGGTTGGCACATGTACAGAGTGTGACTTGGCCAGAGGGCTGAGTCACTGGAGACCAGCCTGACAAGCGCAGCAGTTGGCATGGGGCAACATGAGCAAAGGAAAATGAGAAAAACTGCAGGCGCTCACGAGAGATGAGTGCACCCCATTACACCAGGGCAACCTGATTATCCTTTACAAAAAAATGGAATGGAAAGAGTATTATCTTTACCATCTGATAAGACTGTCGTCTGTTTTTTCTCCAAACAGAACAGAAATATTTATTGAACATTTTTGCCTTTTCTGTATTACTGTTAATAGTTCTATCATTTCCATCTGTTAATAGACCAATACCATAGCCAGGATTCTTTTTGTTTTCAAATATATTTTAAAAACCTCCTTATTTCCCTTAAATCTGCTGGCCATAGATTTCTCCTTGTGTTTCTTTCCTTCCTTTATCAGTTTCCACAATTCCTAACTTCTGGTTTACGTATCAGCTACCACTTTCTCCCCTTGGCTTATATATACATATTCTTAAATGATTCTCAATGATCATTCACAGTTTTCTAATTAAATTCTTCCTCTCAGATGAAGCCTTGGACAGCACTGATCACACTGCATTGATGAACACATTTTGTAGAAATGAATGGTTCATTTTATTCATATACTTAGCGTATTGTGATGGGCATTAATTCCTTGTCACCGAAGTCTGTTATCTTCAGAAGTCACATCATCCCAGCCCTATTCCTCCTCTTTAAAATATCTACATGAAACTACTAAGAGAGATGAGATGTCACAGACTTACCTTCCACAAAAGTACATCTCCCCCCAGGATAACCCAATGCCAAGAAGACACCAGCAGTTGGATGAAAGGTGGCTGGCCAGTAAACACACAAAAAGAAATGGGTTGGAGAGGAAAATCATTTTGAAGAACTTGCCAATAATCCTACCTTACAATCTCAGCATTCATGACCAACTTAAAGATTTCAGCTGCTCTTCAAGGGTAGCTGCAAGTATAGTTGAGCATATTGCCCTAATCCAGCCTGGATGAGACAAAGACATGGATAGCCATGGTGATGTGCACATCAGTTAGTACTGTTGACTAACATAAAGCTTTCTTCAGAGGGATGAGAAAGTGGCATCCACTACTTTCCCAGCCTTTGCTGACCAGGGAGTGAAACTAGCATTGAGAAGCAAACTAGAGTCCCCTGCGTGGCAG